ATGCAAGCTTTATACCTTCAAGATATTGCAAACCAAGAAGAAATCCCAGATCCAAAGTGCTCTCAACTCCAAGATCTTCTCACCATCTTATTCTCTTTTCAAAACCACGCCAAAACTTTCTTAAAGGCTCAAGTTTTGCTCTCTCTTGCTCTAGGGTTACTTGAGGGTCGAAATCATTGAAGAGGCTAGATAAGAAGAGGACATGAGTCCATAAGGTTACGTAAATATGAGCCAAAGCCCTAAAATTAGGGTTTGCATGAAATCCACGTATCCCTGCGTACGAAGTGTACGCCCAACATACTAAGGTGTGCCTTAATACGCTTAGCGTACACACACATATGCACGACGTACTCATCCCATCCCAACTTCTGCCAAAATGCCACTTTGGGCCCCTTTTTCACTCTTTCTTAATTCAGGGACCAAAAATGCAACATAATAAAATTATAGAGTCCAAACTTAGAAGTACCTTAACATTGGGATGTTACACCAGTCCGATGACTGATTGAGCCGAGGGTATTCCATTCTGATGACTGAGTGGACCTGGGGTATTCCAACCCGATGGTTGATTGGACCCGACATGCTTGATTGTATATGTTATCAATTTGAGCGGTGGTACTTGAAGGGTTTTGAGCATTCTAACACTCCTATGGTGTACATGCAACCCTAGATGCTTTGGATCTATGTTTTCTCTAATATACATGCAAACTTTGTTTTTCCAAAGCATCATACTAACTTGCATACAATGGAGTATCTTTACTACAAAATTCTAGTTAGATGACATACCTTTTGTTGTAGCTGGAAACCTTGGACCTTTAAAAACTTAGCACCAATAGTGTGAATGCCTGAAATGGAATCACAACACACTTAGGACAAAGGATAACTTGAGAGAAGGTGGCTTGTACTCAAATTCGGCTAGCTCTTCCAAAGAACACATGTGTAACCGATTTCATGAGCTAGGGGCTTATTATATAGTGTGGCTTAATTAGGGTTACACCATACAAACCCTAATGTGCATGACCTTCCATATTCCTCATGCTCCATGGGTTTAAACCTCCATGGATCATCCATGGGTCACCACATGAGTTTAGCCCAACATAAAGAACTATTGATCATAAGCCCACATTATAAGAATGAATGATTTACATAATCAATCCTCATATATTTAATTAGTCTCTTTTGATCATAGAATTAATTACAAATAAATTCTTGATCAATACTAATTAAATAATATGATTTCATACTAATATATTAGAACTTACAATATATTAATAAACCATAAATAACCTCTTCTCAAAAGTCCGTCCTATCAAATTGTCCTGATGATATGCAACCCAAATGGACCATGCTACTCTCGGGTCAAGTACATACCAATAATAGTTATGGGCTTAGACACCTAATCCAACAGTACTTTGGGGGAACTCACTAAGCTTCGTGCTTATAGTTTTAGTTTTATTGTTTCAGGTATTTCAGATGATTGTGGCAAGGCGAAGGCATGACCGTACACATCCTTGGTTTTCTGACTGATTGGATCTTGGGAGACTCTGATTTTAAATAATGTTTTGGAAACGATGGTTTTGTAAACACTTCTTTAGTAAATGGGATGTTTTTAAAAGTTTAAATTTGTTGTGACTTTTAGGATGTTACAAACGCCTCATGCACGATTATTTTGATGAGCACACGATTTTTCAAGGCTATTTTTTCCAACGACGGTTCCGTATGCACAAACATTTATTTTAGCATCTAGTCAATGACGTCACACAAGCATGTCTATATTTCCAACAACACGCAAATGATAGAGGTACAATATGTTTTACTCCCTTACAAATATTCACAACCGCATTTCGTCAGCTAACATATGTCACTCCCCTGATGCACTAGATGAGAATCTTAGGATGTACACACATATTGCACGAGAAAGCCTTTATAAAATTTACAAGTGTGTCATGAGATTGTATGGTCCACGATATTTGTGTAAACCTACTTACAGTGGCGTCCAACAGTTATATGGTTATCATGCAAATATACATGGATTCCATGGAATGTTAGGAGCCCTAGATTGCCTCCACTGGGAATGAGACAACTGCCTGAATGCATATCAAGGGTCAATACACCCAAGGTGATCATGGTTGAGGAGAATAAAATGACTGAGGTGATGTATACTTGTATCATATTACATAATGTAATTCTTGAAGATGAAGGAAATGCAATATGTGACTATAACGGAGACGAGATTGTTTTGTCCATACAAGTACTTGAGGTTGGAAGCGAATAGTACTTGAAAAGAAGAGAAATAATTCGTAATGTTGAGATCCATCATGATCTTTGCAGAGACTTGAAGAAAATATATTTAGATGGTTGACCACATCGATCTTAAAGCAGAACCGATCGATGATGAAGAATGCCAATTTTCGGATGAAGACGTCATTTAGATTATAGTAGCTTTGATGTTTTAAATTTTTATTTTTTTTATATGTTTAAGTATTTATGTTTGTACCTTTTTGTCACACCCCCAAACCAGAACGGCGGAAACGTTCGGGGGTAGATGACGTCATGTACAGTACCATAACAATGCACAATAGTAAAACAAGCAACAACATCATCCATTGCATTAATAATATAGTTAATACAAGTGTGTTCTGTGTAAAGTTTGTAAGACACCAAAATATAAAATCAACAAAATAATGACGAGTCTTGAATACGCTCCGTCTTCTCGAAAACCTGGTCATTTGTACCTGTCTACTGGTGACCTGAGAATACAAGTTATTTTGAAAGAGAGTATCAA